GGAGGTGACTGCCGACTAAATTGCGTCTTTCGCAGTCAATATTGCTCTAAAAATTTTTTTTTTTCGCGTAAAATTAATTTTTTGACACGCGTGTCTCGACCAGACTGTTTTTAAAAAAACTTTTTTTTTCTTTTCAGGGGCCCTTTAAGCTTCACTGGGTCTCGTTCGACGCGCCGGTGGACTCTATTCGGCGCGCCTTCGAACCATTTGGAACCGTCAAAGAAGTCGCGAGGGAAAAGTGGAAGGTAGGTGGTTTCGTCGACGTTGAGTCCACGACCCTCGTCGTGAGGATCACACTCAACGAGGGAGTCTCGCTGGAGAGCTTGCCGCACCAGCTCCGTCTCTGCGGTGGAAACGTCTTGGTCGTGGTGCCCGGGCGTGCGGCGAAATGTCTCCGGTGCCGTCGCACTGGGCATATCCGCCGCGACTGCAGGGCACCCTGGTGTGCTGAGTGCCGCGGCTTCGGACACGAGCCCAAGGACTGCGTCAAGACGTACGCCCGTGCAGCCGGCGGCCGTACCAATGCGGAGTCCACAGAGCTTCTGATGGACGAAGAAGAGGCGGAACCGGCGGCTGCACCGGCGACGCCGATAGTGCCTCAAGGGCAGCCCGACTCGGAGGAAGCCAAGGGAGGCCCTAGCGAGACGGAGACCGCCGCCTCTCAGACGGAGCCATCGCCCAAGACGACTCTCGAAGGAACCAGTGATGCTTCGGCGAGGGATGGAATGGCGACTCCGGAAGCACCACGGGATGCCGTCCAAGGAAGGGACCCCGCGGACGCCAAGGGTGGCGACGACGACCACGTTATGGTCGTCGAAACCACTACAGTGAAGCGCCGTCTGGATGATGCGCCGTCCAGGGGTGGGGAAGGACAGCTGAGACGCCTCGAGCGCGAGTGGTGCGGGAAGGTGGGACGGTTCAAGAGCCGGCCCGCGTCTTCTGTACGCCACAAGGAGTAGCCACAGTGAGTCGTCTCGGCACGTTGCTGCCTGCTTCGCACTGTGAGCACCGTGCTCCCCGCCTGGTCTTTCTCTAGCCCTTCTTCATGTTTCAAAGACCTTTGAGAGTAGGTACTTTAAACGTGCGAGGTTTAAACGCGAGGCGTAGGAAATACCAAGTGAGCCGTTTGTTTATTGAGAAAGACCTCGACGGTAATTGCCGTGCAAGAGTCAAAGATAGAGAACGAAGACCGGACGGAGAGCATGGTGCGACTCTTTGAGTCACGTTACGATGTGTGCGTCAATCACGCTGTGAGAACGTCGGGGGGATGCATTTTATTTATCAGGAAGTCTCTTGGGTCTGTGACCAGAGTTGTTAGTTGCGAGTCTGGTCGCCTGGTCCTGTGCGATTTGACCATTTCAAGTAAACTGTTTCGTATTTTGAGCGCTTACGCCCCTAATAAGGCGGAAGAAAGATTAGTATTTTTCGAAAACATTTTCGAGTTCGTCCAAACCGATAGGCTTGTCATTTTGTTAGGAGACTTTAACTGCGTTTGCGAGCCGCGTGACAGATCGAACAGCACACAGTATAGAGATACGAGTACCATTTTTCTAAGCGATATGGTCTAGAAGTGTGAATTGGAAGACCTGGGTCTGTGTGCGTCAAGTCCTACCTGCCTATTTTTTACTCACTTCCAAGGTGCTAGTCACGCACGGTTGGATAGAGGTTATGTTTCTTTGGAACTCGCCAGGTCCTGTAAAACGTATGCAGTGGACCCAGTGTCTTTCAGCGACCACTGTCTTGTTTCTTTCACATTGGGCTCTTCAAAGGAAAAAGCCAATAATTTCAGTTGGGATCTGTGGAAATTAAATTCGAAGCTTTTACAAGACGATATTTTTGCGAGTAAGGTGCGTAAAAGTCTCGAACAACTAGATAAAGTAAAAGAAGGAAAAAGTGTCGGGGCGAAATGGGAACTGTTAAAACAAGAATTTAAGATGAGCGTCATTGAAAGATCTGTTGCCTTAAAACATGGGGAAAGAAAAGAAATTACGGAGCTAAAGGGGCTGCTACAAGATTTGCTTAACGCGGAGAGCATATCACCCGGGCTGTTTTCCGATGACATCAGTGTTTTAAAGAAACGTCTTAAGGCCCTTGATACCGAACGTTATCAAGGGGCCATGGTTCGAGCACGTTTACAGCGTTTATCACGGGGGGAGTTACCCACGAAAAATAGGGTTAGAAAAGAGATACGCTATCAAGAATGAAATAAGCGAGATACAGTATCAAGGGCCTTTGACGAGTGAAAGACAAGTCATCGTGCGTGCTTTTGTTGAGTATTACAAAGGGTGGTGGTGGTGGTGGTGGTGGTGGTGGTGGTGTTTGCCTGACGTGAGGTTTTTCTCACTGGCTGTGGAAAGGTTTCACGGGCTTGGGTTATTGCAGTATTGATGAGAATGAATGCAGGGGAAAGGAGGGGGAAGAGATGGTGATGAGAAATATAGGATGATGAAACACAAGTTAACAAATTAAAGTAAAATAAAAAGTCGGCAAGAAATCAGTAAAAAGTGAGAAAATGGGCACATCTAGAACGCGAGCATCACAGAATGTTCACAAAATTCCCGCAGAAAACTTCACGAGAAAAACTATCACTGGCACACAACCACGAAAAGAGAAGTCGGCGGTCGTATTTTCTCACTCATCACAGCCTTGCCAGAAGCCCACAGGCATCCAAGAAGCTGAACACAGTCTTTCGGAGACGTATGCACGTGGATGATGGACCCTTTTTCAGGGTTTTTCAGTTATCGTGCTTCAAAGATAGCAGAGTTCCAAACGTCCTTTTTGCCGTTAATGCCGAAACTCGATGATGAAGCAAGAGAAAGGTTAGAACAACCAGTAGAGCTGTGGGAGATTGAAAAAAGCGATAGATAATTTAAAGCCTGGAAAGTCGCCCGGTCTAGATGGTTTAGGAGGGGATTTTTACAAAACGTTTAAAGATCGAATTGCACCTTTATTGCAACGCGTTTTCGCTGAGGCGTACGACCTTGGTTGTTTGCCTCCTTGCTTTTTGTGTACGCATACGATTTTTATTCCAAAGAGCGAAGACCCCGAGCGACTCCGTTCTGTTGGAGCGTATAGACCGATTACGCTCAGCAACGTTGATTATAAAAGTTTCATGAAGGTATTGGCTGAACGCCTACAAATGGTTATTAACGTCATCGTCGGTTTGCACCAAACTTGCGGCATTAGAGGCCAAAGTATTGTAACAAATGTGCACGTCGCGCGCAGTATTCTAGAGTGCTGTGACGCCATGCACCGTAGGGTCGCGGTGCTACAAGTGGATTTAGAAAAAGCGTTTGACCGTGTGTCGCACGAGATTCTTTTTTCGATTTTAGAACACGTTAATGTAGGGTCTCTCTTATACAACCGCATCCGTATGGCGTATAAGAACTGCGCCACCAGTCTCGTAGTGAATAAATCTGTTAGTGTGCGCATTCCCCTACTTTCTTCTGTGCGGCAGGGATGTCCGCTTTCACCGCTACTTTTTTGTCTTTCTGGAGCCTTTTTGTTTGAGCATCATTCATAACAGTCAGATACGTGGGTTTAGACTACAGGAAACTGAGGTCCGTCTTTTGTCCTACGCGCAAGATGTAGCGATTTTTTGTGTTGACCACGAAAGTGTGAGCAAGGCAGAGCAAGCAGTTAACAGAACTATTTTGTGAACAGACGTGTAGTGCAGTCAACTGGCAGAAGTGTGTTGGCTTTTGGCACGGTGACTGGCCCTCAGCACCCGCTATTTCTGGCCGTATTGTCTGGTCCGACACGCCGGCGCGTTACCTTGGAGTACCCTTGGATCAGTACCGCGTCAATGATCAGTACTGGAGGGATGAGACTGAAGTTCTGCGTGCAAAGGCCGAGAAATGGAGGGGGAAAGGGTTTATCTGTTTTTGCGCGGGCAACTGTTTGCAATTTGTTTCTGGCTGCAAAAGTCTGGTATGTGTTGCAGGTTTTGTATTGTTCACGTATTAACATTCAGCGGATCCATCGTGTTTTCGCCGTTTTTATCTGGAGCTCGGCCTGGGAACGAACCAGCCGCACAAATCTTTTTCGTAGGGTCAAAGCTGGTGGTATAGGTCTTTCACACCTTTTTATAAGACAACTGGTTAGCAGGTTTATGTTTCTTAGAGACCAGCAAGACCCTTTTTTGCGTACAGTTATTCAAACGCGGCTGCGCAGTGCCCTGCCAGATTTTGTGGTGGCGACGAATGTAGACATCTGCCCTGGTTTACGCGGATACTTGAAAGAGGTTGTTGGTGCGTATCGGTTTTTAACAGCACCTTTTTCTTTGCAGTATTTGTCCGGTGTGTCGCGTAAACGGTTGTCAAGAAACCTGATGGATGCGCTTTTCCCCATGCCTTTGTATCGTTTGTTGTACAGTGCAGGCCCAGGGCAAGATGTTTTAAAGCGCGTTAAAAGAATGCTGGTTCCCGCCTACACCAAGACGTTTTTCTTTAAGTTACACAGCGAAACACTCCCCGTTAAAGCTTGGTTATCTGAGAAAGGTATACCGGTCCCATGGTCCGATAACTGTTTTTTGCGTAAAAAGCGACAAACTATTGAACACGTCTTCATCGACTGTTGGGACGCGTTTTTCTTTTGGGACGTCCTTCAGAAGACTCTCAAAAAGGACCTCCCAATAACGCCTCAGGGAATTAGGGTTTTTACCCACAGAAAGAGCGAACGATGTGCCGTATGACATGATAATGCTCCTGGGCCTGCACAGTATATGGCGGTGCCGTATGGCTGTACGCCACGCAGATGTTGATGTACACCCTGTTCGCAAGTATTTCGTTGAAAATATCTGTTTTCTGATGGAAGTGTACAAGGCGCAGGAACCACGACCTGTTGGTTGCCTGCTCTTGAGGGGCTAACTACCCTAAAAGACTTTTAGCATTTCTGACACCAGCCGAGCTGACTGATGTCCTCGTTTTTATCCCTGTTGTTTTAAGTACGGAATGATGGTGAATGTCACTGTCCTGTTCCAGGCAATAAAAAAAAAAAGAGGCCTGCCAGCTCAGTCGGTTAGAGCGTCGTGCTAATAACGCGAAGGTCACAGGTTCGATTCCTGTGCAGGCCATCCCTTTTTTGTGCTTCATTTCACTCCTCGAGCTGACTGGAGAAGACGCCACGAAAGCGGAACAGCCACTCGGCCTGCTAGCTCAGTCGGTTAGAGCGTCGTGCTAATAACGCGAAGGTCACAGGCTCGATATTTGTGTAGGCCAGTACTTTTTAATGCTTCATTTCACTCCTCGAGCTGACTGGAGAAGACGCCACGAAAGCGGAACAGTCACCCGGCCTGCTGGCTCAGTCGGTTACATTCGGCTTCCGGTGCTTGCCGCGCTCGGACGCACGGATGGCTGGCTCCAGCGGAGCTGTGACAACGGCCCTCTCGGGCCGTGGTTTTGCTACGTCTGATATTCCTCAGGACTATCGTATCTACCGCCCCTGCCAGCAGGTACCATCGTGCGCACCACTGTTTTTTTGCACTGTGATGTCTCGGGAAGGCCATACAAGATTGGTGACTTCAAGTCAGGGCTCCAAAGCATCGGAGTCCTTCAAGACCTCAAGGCATTCGGCTCTTACCAAATGAACCACGTCTGGATTGCTACCTTCCACTCGCTGGCTTCAAAGCAGAAGATGCAAGACACACAAGAAATACCAGTCAAGGGTAAGCACTGTCTGGTGCTATACCCTAACAAGGCCGAGGTACGGTTAAAACTGCACTGGGTGCCGTGCGACGTCCCGGACGACACCATCCGGAGAGCTCTCGAGCAATATGGCAGGGTCGAGGGCGTCACTCGAGAAAGCTGGCAGGAAGAGATCCCTCTTCCTGCCAGGAAGTTGAATCAACCACAAGAGTTGTAAGCCTCAAGCCTCAAAAAGGCGTCACCTTGGATAGGCTCCCACACCAGCTGCGTCTTCCACATGGCTCGGTGCTCATCGTTGCGCCCGGGCGCGCCCCAATGTGTCTGCGATGTCGAAGGACTGGACACGTCCAACGTGAGTGTAAGACGCCACGATGCGACCTGTGTCGACGCTTTGGCCATGAAAAGGACGATTGCGTCAGGACTTATGCAACGGTCGCAGACGGCACGGGCGGCATCGACGAGTCCGAGCATCTTATCATCTTATGGACGAGGAAGAAGTGAAAATTGCCGCTGGCGGCACACCGTCGGCTAGGGGTAACTTCACCGAGCCAAGCACCTTCAACAGGGCTGCCACTGAAGTTACTGCGCCTGCCACGCCCCCCACGCTCCAAGACTACCCACTGTTATCGGCTACCTCAAAGGCAGACGTAAACGGCGGCAGCACGGAAGTCAGCGCTTCCGCCAAGGCTGCGTCACCACGTCATGTAGGTGAGCCCAACGGCGACTACGGGGGCACCGAGGTGGAGATGCAAGCTACGCCGGACGATAAGGACTATGCCAACTTGAAGCCATCGGAAAAAGAGGATTGGGCCAGCACAGAGGAGGAAGGCCAAGGGCTGCATGAACAGCGCCTCAAGATGAAGCAGCCAAGCCAGAGACGTTTTCGATACAACCCCAAGCCTCGGATCCTGCCGGACGCCTGCCGACAGAAAGACTCTGCATAGGTTCGCTTTATATGCCCTCTGCTGCATGTTATAGGCGCGTGGTGGTTGGTTGGGTGTAGTGCCACAGGTTAGAAGAGTGGCCAAGGAGGCACTAACAGTTAGCGAAATTCAGTTTAAAAATAATTACGCTTAGTTGCGTTAGCTTGATAGCCCAAAAAAGGAAGCAATGACTACTCAACACGCTTTTAGCGGAAAGAGTTCAGGTGGCCTTGCTACAAGAAACTAAGTTAACCACCGAACATGTAAAGCAGGCTGTTCTATTCTTCGAAAACCACTTTGAATTTCGTTATGCCCATGGAATTTCGCATAGTGCAGGCACGGCGATACTAATTCGCAAGCGAAGCGGGATTGTGCTTTTTCCGGAATGGGAGACAGATCAGAGTGGGAGAATTTGCGCGGTTGATGTGGTTTACAATAATGAAGCATTACGATTAATTTCTGTGCATGGCGCCGAATCTCGCAGTAGAAAGGAAACTATTTTTCAATTCAGCTCAGACAATATATGAACACCCCGGCGCCGACTATACTCGGAGGAGATTTCAACTGCGTCACGCGAGCAAACGACTCCTCGAAGGGGCTCTGACAGGATTCCAGTCTGACGGAACTAAAGAATCTAATCCGAAACTTTGATTTACAAGACGTGACGGAATTTGTCGAAGCACCTGCTCCCGGCTACACTCATTGGCAAGGCGATTGTCACTCGCGCCTGGACCGAATATATGCTTCGAGTCGCTTAGCAGTAGATACGGCCTGCTATCAGGTCAAGCCGTTAGCTTTCTCCGATCATGCCATAGTTGCGGCGCAGATAAGAAAGGTAAAAGAAAAGCCAAATCGCGACTCATGCTGGAAAATTTGGAAACTAAACGAAAATGCTCTCGAGGAAGAGGGGCTGCAGCGCGCAGCTAGAAAACTTATTACAGATAAAGGGGAAGGAAACAACGCAACTGCCGTACACTGGGAGCTGCTGAAAGAAGAGATAAAAATGTGCATTATAGCCTTTTTCCAAGAAAAGTCTCGGGAAAGGAAGGACGGTAAGAGGGACGTGACGAAGGCGCTTCAAACACTAATTCGAGAAGAAAATACGACGCCCGGTGTGTTTACAGCTGATACTCGAGAATGTAAATCCCTACTGCTCGGAATACTAGAGGAGGAGTACCGCGGAGCAATGGTCAGATCACGATTACGGACGCTAGGGCGTTCTGAAGGTCCTACGAAAATCTTTAAAACGCGTGAGCGCGAACGCGCCAGCCGCAACCAAATTAGTCAACTTCAAAGTAAAGGGAACATCATGTCCGACACCGCAGAAATAGAACGAGAGCTGGTCACCATTTTCAGCAGCACCAGAGGCAATAACTGAATTCCTGAACAGGCCTATCAGCGAGTCAGAAGTACGAAGTGCCATTAAGGAGCTAACACCGAACAAATCGCCGGGTGTAGACGGTCTGGGCGCAGCTTTTTACAAAACCTTTTCAGAAGAACTAGTCCCCATTTTAACGCAAGTTTACGGAGACGTGTATAAACGAAAGCTCCTCCCGCCTTTCATGAGACAGGCAGTGACGGTACTAATTCCAAAACGGAAGTGTAGGGGCTCCATTGCAAGTAGTGAAGACTTTAGGCCGATAAGCCTGTTAACAACAGATTATAAGATCCTGGCAAAAATTTGAGCAAAACGCCTGGAAACAGCTTACCAAACCCTGGTTGGAAATCATCAAACGTATGGCTTCAAGAACAGGTCAATATTCGCAAACTTACACACAATGAGAGTTATAACAGAAACGGCGGAAGCCATGGAACGTCCCACGGCCGTCCTGCAAATAACTTTAAAAAAGCATTCAACAGAGTGAATCATACTTTTTTAGAGCGCAGCTCTTAGGGGCCCGTTCCCGGCTTGAGCGGCGTCGGCGTCGCCGTCGGCGTCGCCGTCGCCGTCGGCGTCGGCGTAACCAAGGTCATCCCAAGGTCACTTGACCCCCAAGGTCATCCCAAGGTCACGTGACCCCAAGGTCACCCAAGGTCACGTGACCCCTCCCCAAGGGTCATCGGGGGTCACGTGACTCCCCAAGGTCACCCCAAGGTCACGTGACCCCCAAGGTCACGTGACACCCAAAGTCACGTGGCTCCCCAAGTCACGTGACCCCCGATGACGTCATCAGTTACGTCACTGATAACGTCACCGGCATCCGCATCGTCATCGCCATCATCACTGATGACGTCACCGGCATCCGCATCGTCATCGTCATCATCACTGGTGACGTCACCGGCATCCGCATCGTCATCATCGCTGATGACGTCATCAGTGACGTCACTGATGACGTCACCGGCATCCGCATCGTCAGCGTCATCATCGCTGATGACGTCATGTGAAGTCACTGATAACGTCACCGGCATCCGCATAGTCATCGTCATCATCGCTGATGACGTCATCAGTGACGTCACTGATGACGTCACCGGCATCCGCATCGTCATCGTCATCATCACTGATGACGTCACCGGCATCCGCATCGTCATTGTCATCATCACTGATGACGTCATCGGTATCCACATAGTCATCGTTACTGATGACGTCATCGTCATCGTCACGTGACCCCCCTAGGTCACGTGACCCCCACCCAAGGTCACTTGGCCCCCCCCCCCCCCCCAGTACCCTTCCCTCCTCCTCCTCAAGAGCTGCGCTCTAATTCGGCGTTACAGGGAGTTGTAAACGGCTTTCACTTTTTATTCTCCTTACTAGAGCAATGCGGAACGGGAGAGTTTTTAGTGAATTTTCTTAAAATATGCTATAGGGACATAAGTACAAGACTCTTGGTCAACGGGCGCAGGTCGTGTAGCATTCCCGTTACGTCGTCCGTACGACAAGGTTGCCCTATGTCGCCTATTTTATTCGCCATTTACCTTGAAACGCTGTGCAAAGCAATCTTAAGTGACCACAGCATAAGGGGAGCTTGCCTGGGCTCAATGTCAGTTAAAATGTTGGCATACGCAGATGATGTGACACTGATTGGCCAATCGCAAGAGGAGGTGAGGAAGGAAGTAGAACATGTCAGTCAGTTTTGTGACGTTTCAGGAGCGAAAATGAGCCCAACAAAAAAAAGGTCGGCACCTGGCTGGGACCATGACCATCCAAGCCACAACTATTCCTGGGTATAGCGTGGTCAACACACATCTCCAACCACTTAGGGGTCGGATTGGGCAGCACGCAGCTCAGGACAGGCGTAGATGGCATACATTTGAACACGTTGCGGGCAAAGCTTCCAGAATGGTGGGGGAGGTACGTACCACTTTTGAATAGAGCGTATGTCAGCAATGCAGTGTTTTTTTCAACCGTTTGGTATTCAGCGCAACCGGTGCCGTGTAGGCAGCTCGATGTACAGAAAGAACATAGATTCTGTGCGACGTTTGTCTGGGGTTCTGGTTTCGAAAGAATGTGCCGGAGCAACCTTTTTATAAGTAGGCAAAAAGGAGGACTCGGATTAGTAAACTTAGAA